TATTTATTTGCTTTAGAAATAAACAAGTTTGCTTCAGATATAAAAACGTAGCAAAACACAAGACAATAGAGAACAAAACAAGATATTGTAACAGCTCATAATAACACAACAGTCAGCTCACCATATAGAATAGCTGTGACAGAAATCCAAAGCTGAGACAATTTGTCGGAAAAACTTCCTGGCTTCCTTGGGGGTCAGACGGCCTTTCTTCACCAAGTAATCGAAAAGTTCACCTCCTGAGACATGTTCCAAGACGAGGTACCTAACACATTAGAAGTCCAGAGACAGCATGACCAAGAAGCAAGGACAAGAATTAAAAGCAAGTGGAAAATCTATCAGACCACCATGGGAGCAAACTCAGAATCCATTCAAACCAAGGCAAAACCATTTTCTTTGCAAAGAAAATGGAAAAGAGAAAGAGAGATGTAACACTTTGATCCTGAGAGTTAAAAAGAGAAAAAAGAAGTGGGTGGAGAGAGAGAGATGAAGAATTCAAAATATTTTATATTGCTTCATCATTATTGAATCGCCAACTGCTACATAACCTCAAATGGAGAACGAGCAGAGCTCCTTCAAGCCAGGACTACATTTTTTTTTTATATAGGAAAGACTTGTGTTTAATAAATATTGTGTACAGTTAGCTGGGTGGCGGCTGGTTGTGCTCTGATTGAAGGGGGATCTGCCTTGGCTGCCTAAAAGGTTTCTTGCATGGGCAGCCAAATACAGGTAGTCCTCGACTTATCGCTGTAATTGAGCCCACAATAATTTCAGTTGTAAGTCACAAGGGACATAAAGCAGATCAACACACGAGTGGACCTGATTTTGCAACCTCTTTTGCAGCAGTCGTTAAGCAAACACCACAGCCGTTAAGCAAACCCATTGTAAAGTATGTCTGTGAAGATTTTCAGTCATCCAGTTGCTCTTTCAAAAAGCACCTGCATTGTTTTTTTCCTTGAGGAAGAGGAACAAAATGTTTTGTTTCTCATTTATTTATTTGTTTGTTTGTCAAACATGTACAAGACAACAAGTATGGGTATGAACATAAGCATGAACAAAGGAAGAAAATACAGATAAATGGGGACAGTAAGACAGGGACGGTAGGCACCCTAGTGCGCTTATACACGCCCCCTTTACAGACCTCTTAAGAATGGGGTGAGGTCTATGGTGGACAGTTTGAGGTTGAAGCTGTGAGGGAAATGACATCCAAGAAATGGCATCAGTTGTGATTGGGCAGGGTGGGAGAGGCAGGATAGAATGGAATGAGAATAAGAAACCAAACATTTTGTTCTTCTTCCTCAAGAAAAAAACAGTCCAGTTGCTTTAAAAAAAAAACCACCACATTTGAGATCACTATGAAACCAGAAGGTTTCTGGTAAAAAAAAATGTCGTAAAACTCAGTCACGTGACCATAAGGTGCTGCAAACATTTCTAAACACAGCCATTTTACTGTAGGGGAGGGGAGGAGCTGTGTGTATGGACATCAGAACTTCAAAACAAGACCACACTTCCATTTTTGGAATCCGCTGTAACTCTGAATGGTTATTAAACGATTGAGCATAAGTCAAGGATTACCTGTGCATGGACACGACTCTCACACTTGGCATTTCGACATACAGTTATATGCTGGTTTTGATAAGAAATAGCTTTCTATGGGGACAGTAGTCTGTTCCCTCAGGAGAAACACTGTAATTTTGGGCATGTTTAATTTTAAAGTTAATTTGAAATTCTGCAGGGTTGATGGGATTGAATTCCAGTGACTGACACACCAGTATACCAGTATCTACAAGGGAATCACTCCCATTAAACTCTTTTAATATTTTAAAACTGTTTTTATGTAAGCCGCCCGGAGTCCTTCGGGATTGGGCGGCATACAAATCCATTAAAATTGAAATTTAAATTGAATTAAAGTCAATTAAACTTCCAGTGGAGTAAATAAGTAGGGAAGATTATGATTAAGAGAGAATTCTCAAGGATCAAAGTTAGAAACGTATCAAAGTTGAGCCTGAAATATGGCATTTTCAATGTCATTTGGCTGAATTTTTATGAATAAAACAAATAAATGTTTATTTCAATATTAATATATATATAAAAAAAGCTCTAACATAGCTTGGAAAACCATTGGCTGTGATAAACTGCACTTTATATTATCTCCAACCAGTGCACCCACCAGTCAGACTGGGCAAAGATAAGCTACATGACTGAAAATGAAAGCTAGTTGAATAATACCTCTCCCCAATTTTAGCCCTAATACATATACATATTTTTATTTCACGCACTCTCTTTATCCCATGGCTTTGTCTCTCTCTTTATATCTCCTCCCATCGACTCAGAAGAGAATGACAAAGAAAGCTTATAAGTAGAGAATGCCACTGGTCTGGCACCGCCTGGTATGTTGGACAGCTATCCTGCAATTTCTCTCCTTCCCTCCCTCCCTCCCCTCCTCCCTCCCCCCTCCCTCACACACAGTGGCTCTGCCATTCTGGCAGCATTCACACCCAAGAGAAATACAAGTATCTTCCACCTAGGAAACCGTTGCTTTGTGCCAGGAATTTCAGAAGCAGATGGGAACACAACTCCTTTCTTTTTATTGGTCCTGCACCTTTCCAGAAACCAAGCTTTTGAATTTCAATTACTTTAGCAAAATTGGAGGAAGTGGCTATTTCCTGTCTTCCGCTATCCTCCCTCCCTCCCCATTCAGAGAATGCCACATATAAATTCGAGCATGAGGGTGGAGGGTAGCCACAATCTGTTGGGAGTAAAGTGTGTAATTAGATTGGGATGAATTGGGGGGGGGGGGGGGGCGGCGCTTAAGAATCCACTTCAGAACAGCTCCATAAAGCCACATGTCTTTGGCTCTTGTTTATCACATTTTAACTTGGTCTGCCTTCAAGAAGAAGTATCAAAGCTGGCCCTATCTTTGGATAGATGAGGTCATTGCCTCAGACAACAGACGTTAAGCAGGTGGCCAGCTGTGATGGGAGCCTTCTGTCTGTTCTTTTTGAATGTCAAGCTGTTCCTTTTTGTTCGTAGTGCCATGGATGCTTCACCCTTTTCTTCTGAGCCAGCTAAACTATTCTGTCGCAAGTGTGGAAATGATACTATCCCATGGCAAATGTTGAAGCAATCCTCAATGGCCAATCCTGCTCTTCTTTATATGTCATAAGAACATCAAGAAAAAGGTTTTGGGAAGGTATAGAATAACACCTGAGTGGTATCTCATGTAGGTTTGTTGCAGACAACATGTGGTTAAGAACATGCAAGGGGCATTGAACCATGGTGATTGGGGAAGATGGGTGGTTTAATGACTTTACACATTGCGCTAATCCAGGGCTGTTTCATCACATTAATTAGTAGCCTTTGGCAATTATTTGCAATAATTTTAAACTCAACCTACAATTTTCACATTGCCCTTGCTACGTATCAGTAGATTTCAGTCTCTGTGTTATTGCATTTATGCACTTATGTATCAATTCATATTTTTATAAGTCTGGAGTTGTGATTCCTATAGCTATATGTATGACTGGAAAGAAGGCCCCGTATTTCTCCTGAATGTAGAATCCTTAGCAAGTAAATCCATGGAAAGAGATGATAATATTCCAGGTGGATATGTGCTAATTTGTAGAAAGAACTACAGGTAGTCTTTGACTTTGATCACAATTGAACCTAAAATATTTGTTGCTGAGTGGGAAAGTTGCTAAATGGGTTTTGCCCTATTTTACAACCTCTCTTGTCATAGTTGCTAAGTGAATAACTGCAGTTGTTAAGTTAGTATCAGGGTTGTTAAGTGAATCCGGCTTCCCCGTGGACTTTACTTGTCAGAAGGTTGCAAAAGATGATCACATGACCTCAGAACACTGCAACGGTCATAAATATGAGCCAGTGCTAAGTGTCTGATTTTGATCATACGAGCATGGGGATGCTGCAATGATCATGTGAAAAACAGTCAGATGCCCCTTTTTTCAGTGCCATTGGAACTTCGAATGGTCGCTAAATGCACTGTTGTAAGTCAAAGACTACCTGTATTGCCCTTTGGCAGGTATGTATCCAGGGCCCCATTTGCAAGTGGGAGGCCATCTGCCAATAAATACCTACAAGTATTTTTTGTTCTCGTAGACATCATGAAGTTTGAGTACGTGAGGGNATTAGAATGTCATATGAACACAGTCAAAGGCTGTTAGCTTGACACCCGTGATACATCAGATATTTTCACTAGTTTCCCTTACTTTTGGAGGGAGCATTAAAAGTCAACAGGTTTCTCTATGTGCTGTGTAGAACAAGCAGTGTAGCCTGATGTATTTGGATTAACAATTTCTGAAAGTATTAATCCCAAGAGTGCTGGGTTAGCTCATTTCAACCTCTCATCTATTCTTCCTCCTCAATGAAGCTGCAAACTAGAACTGTGACTTTACAAAATTTATTGGTTTGGAAAATATTTTTTTCTCAGATGGGCTGTATGCTAATATTCCTTCCAACTATTTATTCATAAATTCAAAACAATAACCCATGGTTCAGAAATGTGCTTTTACAATGCGACAGGAGTCAACATAAATTATTTAAAAAACAAGGTTAAACTATACATATCCTGAGTTAAATGAAGGCAGGAATAGAGGCGACTTCAAAGTTTAAATAAAGGCCTACACCAAACAAGTACAGTAAGATCAAATTCAGTCAGGAGGGAATATAGAACCGTGGGACCATTAAGAAGACCAATTTCATGTTCTCCATGATTTGACTGATAGCCTAAGAACAACAAACAGCAAAAGAGGATGGGTGGCTGAACTTGAACGATATTACGGCAACCGAGGAGCTCCCATCAACTCTCCCTCAAAAGCAAAGTAATTGCAGAAGGGAGGAGTAAGGTTAGTGAACTTTTAAGATTACTTGTAAGGTAAGTGATCCCTGAGCGGCAGGATGGGAGGGGGAAGCAGTTGTAGGGAACGGGGAAGGGGGAATAGGGTGAATGTTGCAGACCTGCAGTCATTCATAAGGGCGAACAACTGTTGTGGCACTGCAACATTTATAATTTTGGGACTTGCTCATAAACACCAGGGGGCGCTTATCTCGTAACTTTGAATGGGTGCTAAATGAAAACTCGGAACCTAGAGATTAGCTGTATATCTACAGTGATGCAACTAGTTGCTTTAGTTTGGCAAGACTTCTGGCTATGGGTGAGGAACAATAAAGGAAAATACTCAGAAGTAACTCAATGTGTCTTTCTTGGTTCCCGGGAGCCTGGCAAGAAGTGATAAATGGGATGTAGGATAAGTTATTGAAATGTTAATGAAATCTTTAGAACTTTGACTGGATGGGATTTAGAAACCACTGCATTTATTAGATATTACATTTCGCCAGAAAAAGCACCTACTCCCAATATTTACATATCATGCTGGATCAAAAGATGAGGAAACCAGTGATCATCTAGCGACCTATCATGTTTCCCCAAAAATAAGACACGGTCTTATTTTCTTTTGACCCCCAAAATAAGGGCTTGGTCTTATTTTTGGGGAGGTATTATTTTTGAGGTGCAGGAGATGGCGAGCGTGGTCACCTCATGGCTGCTGCTGTGTTGCAATATTTTCAGGGAGGGCTTATTTTGGGGGGAGGGTTTTATTTTTGGGGAAACAGGGTAGGAAAACATGTACTTCAGAAAGAGTAAATTGGCATTTCAATCATCAATAGGATCCAAGGATGGGAGAAGGAACAATAATTACTATAATAAATATTGATTTTCTTTATCAATGATAATTCAAAGTGGCCGGTAGCATAAAAACTAGAGACACAATAAAAAAAAATCAATAGAACACAAATAACAAAAGGGTGGGAACCACAAGACAATTGAGAAAAATAAACCCAAAAGAAAAATGTTTTTCTTTCTTTTCCTGCAGGAACAAAACAAGATATTGTAACAGCTCATAATAACACAACAGTCAGCTCACCATATAGAATAGCTGTGACAGAAATCCAAAGCTGAGACAATTTGTCGGAAAAACTTCCTGGCTTCCTT